TCGGGAGTTTTAGGAAATGTAAAACATGTGGGATCGGATCATGAGTTTGAATATGCAGATCATGATGAGTATGATGACGATGATGAATCTTATGATGAGGAAGAAGAGAGGGAATATTGGAGTCGCTTCAAAGCCGCAAGTGTTAGTCCGGAACGGGTAAAGGGAAAAGATGTAAATGATGAGCATGAATATCGACATGAGCTGGCGGGTGACGAGCATCAATATCGACATGAATTTGCGAATCATGAGCATCAATATCGAAACGAGTTTGCAAATAATGAGTATCAATATCGAAATGAATTTGCAAATGAATGCGATCCGAATCTTCAAGGGATTGAATATCAACATTCGCATGAAAAAGAAGTTTTGATCTCAAGCGAAGAAGAACCAGAACTTTTGGCAACACTCGGTCAACCTTCTCGAAGAGGAAGAGGATTTGGAGTCAGAACTTTTAGTGGTGATAAGAGTTTAGAAATCGATATGATGGTGGGAGGACTCAAAGGTCTGAATATCGATGGGAATACAATGCCAGGGAAAAATACAGTCTTTAGTATGGATGGAAGTGCGATTGGAGATTTTACGGTTGGTGGAGCGGGAGAATTTGATGTGGGGGGAAGTGGACAGAGGAGGGACACGAGGAGTAGAGGAAGTGGGAGTGCGCATTCGGGAACGGGGAGTTTGGGAAGTTTGAATGGGATGGTGCAGGGTGGTGGGAATCGGCAACGGGTTGGGGTTAGGAGTTAGGTTTTTGGTTTTGGATTTTGGGTTTGGGTTTGGGTTCTGAGTGTGGGGTACTATTATGACTATAATGGGTTTGTTCAAGTGGGATTCAAATTGGGATTGAAATTGGGATTAGCATCGATTGGGAAGCAGGATTGGGATTAAAATATCTATGTGCATGCATGTATTGGGGAATTATATCGATATACCAGGATTTTTAAATGGGTTCTTGAGAACTGTCAATGGGAATTTTTGAGTCTGCGAGGGAAAAAATAAAATGAGATGAGATGAGATGGAGTTTCTTGTATATATTTATTTTTGAGTATTTTAATCATCTCTCATAGGTAGAGAACCTATATGAGATTACGAATCGAGAATTCAATTTAATTTATTGATTCTACTCGTGCTGTTAGAAAATATACAACTCCAGTATTATGAAAACCAGGTTAATCCTTTTATAGTTTATTATCTTGTGGTATGTACATCTAGCATTGGAGTTGTATACTTTCTGATAGTACAAGTATATTCCTCCCATCTTATTATCATCTAGAAGTGAAACGCCTATGTGAAAACGAGTTTTGTAATTTGGGTTTGATTTTGATTTTGATTTTGATTTTGATTTTGATTTTGATTTTGATTTTGATTTTGATTTGAACCTGTATACCTAGTAATCGCAATCTTTCCTATAATGAATGAGATGGGATGGAATGGGATGGGATGGAATGGGATGGAATAGTACCTAGATAGGTAGATAGTGAGTGTGAGGAAGTAGGTTCGATGAGGTGTGGATAAGTAGATCGATCCACTCCCCACTACTCGGTATCGTTTTGAATAAATGCCGACCTCAAATTTAAACGAACTCTTTATTCAAATTTATAATTATTTAGCATTTTCAAAACTCAATATTAATATAATTAATATAAATATCTTATTGAATCTTTTTTTAATAAAAATAGAATTTATTAATATATTATATATCAAGATTTCAGATCTTTAAATATATTATTAAAGAAATAATAATCAAAAAGAAATCAAATTTAAAAAAAATAATGTTTTAGGCCTTAATTTTAAAAAATTAAAGCCTAAAAATTAATAAGTTTTGTTTTTATATTATTGATTTTTCATTTTTTTAAATAATTCGAAATTCAAATAAGATTATTTTATTTTTGAAAAAATGTATATAAAATTTAATTAAATATTTAATTACTTATAAAGTTTTTTAATTTTTTTTTAATTAAATTGATATAGAATTTTGAAATAAATAACTTTTAATAGTTTTTGATATAATATACATTAGCTAAATTAAGGTTGACATTCATTTAAAACGAGACCGAGTATATACTAACCAGCCCAGCCCAGCATCATATATATCATCCAAGCCCCCAACCTTTGTTTATTTTTTTTCTCAAAAAATTCTTCGAAAAAAATTTCTTTTTTCCTTTCCTTTCTTTTACCTCTCCTTTCCTTTTTATTTATATAGATTGATCTAGTCTCATTTATAAACCCAAATATTATTAATATATACAAGTAAATATCAAAAGCCGCCCGGCTAGCTCAATCGGTAGAGCGTGTGACTCTTATTCGTCGAGAGATGAGATGAGATGAGATGAGCTGAGCTGAGATGAGATGAGATGAGATGAGTTGAGATGAGATGGAGTTTGTCAAGTGTAATTACAAGGTTGGGGGTTCGACCCCCCCGTTGGGCTCAATTCCCTTTAGAGATTTTTTTGGATTTTGGATTTTGGGGGGGGGGGGGGATTTTGAAGGGGAAAGGGGTTTTGAAGGGGGAGAGGGGGAAGAGGAGGAAGAGAGAGAGGGGAGAGAGAGAAGGGGGAGTTTATATATTTTTTAATTTTTGTTTAGGTTTGTTTATCGAGCGAGTTATGTTATCTACGCGGGGGGGGGAGGGGGATTTCTAATATCAATCCTATAAATAAAAAATAAATCATAAAATAAATAATACCATAAATACATAAATCCATCAATAAATACCTATCCTTAAATAATAAACTAATATTTCTTTATCCTTTATTCACTCTCTCTTCTTTCTTCTTTAGAGATAGCCTTTCTACAGTGAGAGTATGGATGCCTTTTTTTCGTTCTCTAGCCGGTGTTTCGCGATAGGTGGGTATCTATTGGCGGTTTATATAGTTAACTCACTTGAGGAAGGACGGGAAATAAAGGAGGAAGAAAAATAGGTTGCGAAATGTAAATACTATGGATGTATCTAGATTAATAACTACGAAGTAGTCAGAGGAAAGACCATACTATATGGGAAATGTAAGATAAATCATATATGTTGTTGAGATATATGATAGTTTTCTCCTTTTCTCTCCCTTCATCTCCTCTGCTTCTCTATACTCCCATCCCATACACCGTTCCATATTCTTCCATCCCTCCCGATTCCTCTCATCTACAAAGTCCCGGCGCAACCACAGAATTTGTCTTTCCAGCCACACAATTATAGTTCGCATTGAACTTGTCAATAATAAACATAATCGATCCCACCATTCCAATCGCTCCTTTCAGTAATCCACCCAGAGACGGATCCACCTCCTGCAAAATCTCAGATGTGACGATTTGGAAGGAGAGCTTTGCGATGTTCGTCCCTGTGCTGGGGAAGGTTCACTTCTCGACTATATGGAAAGAAAAAGGAGAAGATTAAAATTTGCCATTGCGTAAAAAGTCGGAGAGAAAGAGGAAATTCGCCAAGTCCCAATCCATCATATCCACCACCCGCAACGTCCTCATATGTCGACCCATCCGTCTTGAATGCTGTAACCTGCACCGTACATTTAGACCCGAGGCTCACGCACGTCGTGGTACTGATATAGCATGCAAAACTTGCTTAGTTGGCTTTGAAAGATGCAACAGGAGAAGCGAGATAAATCGATGTCATGGTGGAGCCATTGAAACCGACGACAGCTTGCTGGCCGTATATCTGCTGCAGGAAAGCAGCCGCGCCGGTTTTTATAATGGCGCGCCAGATACCGCAGTAGATGAGTTGGTTATAGAAAGTTAGGGGGACGCTGCTAGTGGGTTGGAATACCGCCGATGGGAATGCTTTCGTACTAGAGGGGAGATGGTGCTAGGAATGTATGGGAATGTATTTTATGAGAGCAGGCATTATGAAAGAGTGACATACATCATTGAGAACTTCTCCGGAAGTTCTGGCTATCAATTCGGTGTCTGATCGGGGAGTTACTGCAGAGATACATTGACCTGTTGCTCCTCAGTTGACTTTTCCGGATATACATTTATATGTGGAGGTGAAATCGTCGATGAAGAGACTGATCGTGTTCATTCTGGCACCTGGATTTCCAAGGAGATTCCCGAGACTGTTGCCTACTGTTTATAGAATTGTAGAGGTAATGATGTTGAATTGCAATTTGCCAACGTTTGTCCAGGAAGTTGTTGCACCACTGTAATAATATGGATAAATACAGTACTAGACAATTGAAATAAGCCGAAACTGAAAAATACACCAAAAATGATTATTTTTCATCCTTTTTAAAGTAAGATGTTCTGAATACCTTTGAATTAATTATTATAAGATTTTAATATAGTATAATAATTTATATAAATTTCAATAAAAATTGAATGAATTATTTTTAATAAATTATTTCGTATTAATTCAATTGATTAAAGTTGATCAAATTCAAAAATTCGATTTTGTGACAATTTTACTAGTTAATTTAGCGTATTTTTACATTTTTTCAAAAGCTTTAACTTCAAACTATGAATTCAAGATCAAAAAAAATCTTAAAAATATTTGATATATTTTTTATCAAATAATTAATAAATCTCTATTATATATGTATAAAAATATATTTCTTATATACTTTATATAAATAATTATGTATTATTGAAAAGGTTAATAAATGATCATTTTAGGTGTGTTTTTGAGCTATGGCTTTTTTCAATTGCCGGTTACTATAAATTCAAAGGAATATACAAAGAGAAATAAAAACAATTAAAGGTAATATACTTTTTTTTACTAATCATAGGTGTTTATGATCATTATATATTCATTGTTAATCAGAGTCAGCTTCTCATTTAGACTAAAATTACTATTCTTGTTGTCTGGTGAATCAAATTCATTATATGCTCATGACCGGGCTACAATGATTAGTTTCAAATTATTACTCGTAGAAATCAGATAGTAATCGAGTAGGAATAAATCATGCAAACCGAAAACCATTTAATGTCCCTCTACTTTCTACACCACAGTCTGGATTTAACGGATAGCTATGAATAATACTGAGATGTCAAATGTCTATTTACTGGAACCCAGCATTATATCCTTCATTATATCCTTCATTGAATGCATCGCTGAACCTTTGAAAAGCCTGAAAGGGTGAATTCAACGTGGTTTGAAAAAGTGACGGTGGATCTTCCTGGGGCAGAGTATTATCTCCTTCATTGAACTCATCGCTGAACCCTTGAAGCGCCTGAAAGGGTAGATCCAATGTGGTTTGAAAGAGTGACGGTGGATTCTCCTGGAACCCAGTATTATATCCTTCATTATATCCTTCATTGAATCCATCGCTGAACACTTGAAGAGCCTGAAAGGGTAGATCCAATGTGGTTTGAAAGAGTGACGGTGGATCTTCCTGGGGCAGAGTATTATATCCTCCATTGAATCCATCGCTGAACCCTTGAAGAGCCTGAAAGGGTAAATTCAATATGTTTTGAACGAGCGAGGCCAGACTTTCCTCAAAGTTTTGCTGCTGGTATTGAGGTTGGGGCATAAATTGTTCCTGCTGCTGAACCTGGAATTCTGGGTTGCAGGGCTGTGCCATAACAGGCTGCGCATTATGAACCATAGTAAAATACTCTGGTGGGACAATGCACTGCTGTTCCACTTGTTCTGATACTCCCTGTTCGCACCTGAGATCCAGATCCTCTTCATCACTCGACTGTGAGCTCATGTCGTCTTCATCAGAGCTACTGTCATCGTCTTCGTTGTCGCCATCTTCTTCTTCATCATCTTCGTTCTCATCATCTTCGTTCTCATCGTCTTCGTTCTCATCATCTTCGTTCTCACCATCTTCGCTCTCATCATCTTCGTTCTCATCATCTTCGTCATCAAGATAATTGAAGCTCCACATGATATTTTCTCGCTTGGGGTCTGTCATTTTCATGATCGCAACTGCCGTGTCAATGCCATATCCATCCTTGAGAGCTTTCCACTTGGATTTTTGCATGTTTTCAACATCTTTACTTTTATCGGCGTTTTTCGACCAATGGTGAATCAAGCAATCCATAGACCTGATTATCACGGGAGCACCAGGTGGTAGAATCTTCTGACAAAGATTTATAACAACTTCGAGCTCCCTTTCCCCCTCACAATCACCCTCACATTCTTTCTGCAAACAGATTTCACCAAGGAGAACCGCAGCCTGAATGGTAAGCGGATGGCTAGCACTAGTGGCATCTTTCAAGCCTCTCTTAGCCTCCCGAATTAATTCTTCGGGATTATCTTCAGAACCTTCCCACTCGATTTCGTGCTGTTGAAGATTCAATAGTAGCTCTGCCCATCGCAACATGGCTTCCCACTGCTCTACTGAATCGTGTCGCTTTATTGCATTACCATTATCCACGTTGTCTTTGTTCAACTCGCTCAAATCAAAATCACAGAAATGTTGATATGCCTCCAGGATTAATTTTTTCGCCTCCGGAAACTTCTTCTGTTGTCTAAATAAATCGCCCTTTTTGAGCTTTACGCGGAACGCATCATGCTTCATGTCGTCGCGCCCGCAATCTTTCAGGTGAGTCAGTGCTTGGTTGTAGTACTTTTCCGCAAGCTCCTCGTAGTCTGGGCCTCCAAGAACTGCACAGGTTTCAGCTAGATCGATTAACACTGACGTGATATCTTTGTGAAAATTTTTCTTTTTTATGTCTTCCTTGTATCCAGAGTACGCCGTTAGAAATGACTCTTTTGCTTGTGTGAATTTGCAGCTTTGATAGCAGACAGACCCAAGTTTGTGGGCTGCAGTCGAAGTATAGCGGTGATTTATTCCGTATCGCTTCCGGTATCCTTGGTATGCTTGATCGTAAAATTCTCGAGCTTTTTCCATCTGCCCAAGAGCAAGATGAAGCGTACCAAGAGTCTGACAAGTCCGCAATGTCCGGGTCGCATATTCTCCTAAGACCTCTTTAAATCCCTTGAAAACAGCACTGAATTCGGCAATAGCATTTTCAAACTCTATCTGTGCCTCGTCGTGGTTGTCCACCGACGTCAAGAAATCTCCATTTTTCTGGAGTGTCTTTGCGAGAGTGTTTGAGCACTTAAAGTATGATAGACTGGTGGGTCCTTCTAGCTCTGAAACAATATCACGAACACTCCCTCTGAGGCTCTTAGCTTCCTCGTAGAGCTTTTTCTCTTCGTAGAGGGAAGCATAAAACGAAGCTAGATCTGCTTCATCCAGATTGCTCTCCTCACCAAACAAACCTTGCTCTTTAGCCAAGTTCAGAGTGTACTCACAAATTTTGCTGGCCTCATCTATATTGTTTGTCTCTCCGGTCGCACGGAGAGCTCGGGCAACGCTCAAGTTTGCTTCCATCAGTAGATGCCAATCTGGGTCTGATCCTACTATCTCCGTCTGGTTGGCCACGATGACGGACACTGCAAGTTTGAGGGCCTTATCTGCATCAACCTTGTCGCGCTCTAGATAGCTTTTACACAGAGCCAAGGTGGTTGAATAATAAAGCTCGCTGCCTTCTGGTCTTCCGGCTGGATTCAATTTCAAAGCTTCGTTAAATTTATCGCGAGCGTGGTCATATCGATCTTGTTCCATGTATGTCTGGCCAAGGTGGTATTTTGTCAAAGCAAGGAGGACATGATGGTCTTGAAAAGCGGCCAAAGAATCATGTGTGTTGAATCCTTGAATAGACGGCCGAGCCTGATTTTCCAAGCCTGATAATACTTGGTTGAGGTGCATCTCAGCTTGCTTGTATTTGGATTGAAGATTGTAATTCGCTCCTAAATGCAGTCGAATAACGAGAAGTAGCGGGTGATGCTTTTTGAGGATGGAGCTTAGTCTCTTTAAAGCTCGCTGGTAGACTGCGGCGACGGTTTCATCACGCTCTTTTTTCGAGGTGGTATTCTGAGTTCTCCTATCCGGCCATCGTGGTTTAAATCCTTCAAAATCCTCAATCGAGTCACCGAAATTTCTTAGGGCCCTTTTACATTGTTCGCTGGCTGTCTTGAAATCATAGCGACTGGCCGCCAAAGCGATCATCTCAGCGATGGCGTTGAGCTCTAGTTGAAACCACTTGGTTGATTTTCGCTCGTCACCCCGTCGATCCTGGATCTCTTTGCTCAGATCATTCACAGTCTTGCCTGGATCATCTGTGGTCAGCTTTGACTCGTCTTTTTGTTTGTCCGCCATAGGATTTGAAGTTGGTGGCTGCCCTCGTGTTGGTTCTCGACGTTTATTGTTGATTTCCACTGACCAGTAGCTCCCATTGCGCTCGCATACTTCCAATATTTGTGCAAAGAGACCTTCAGCAACTTGAGTGTATTTGCTGTGGCTGGCGAGTCGATTGCTCGAAGCAATTCGTTGCACGGCCATGAAAGACTGTCCCAAGGCAAGCTGAATGTCTCGATATGGGAGGCTACTCTTCACTTCTTCACGCTTTGCCCAATTCCCTTCAAGAACAAAGGCATAGGTTGCGATAGCTCTTTCAAATAACTTGTTTTCCGCGTAGACATCCCCCAGAAGCGTAAGACCACGAGCCAGCTTTTTGTCGTTGCGATCTTGCTGGACCTTATCTTTTGTTACAGTTTGATCCACCGAGAAATTGACGACAGCTGGATCGATCATTACATTATTTTTGACCAGAACTCTGGTGGCACTTCTATTGTTAGTTTCCAAAGCTTTGATAAGAGCCTCATGGCTTAAATCGGCGGGATATGATTCTTGTGTAGCCGAGTCATTGGCCAACCAAGTGGATAGGTCCTCCGTACCTCCCCTGAGCCACTCACCAAAGCGATTCGCAGACTCAGACATCTTTCCAATCGAAGACTCTTCCGAATTGTCCTTGATTACCATCTCGTCTTTATCAAACATGGATTTATCATTTATTGATGACAAGTACTCCCAAACCTTCCCAGCCTTCAACGCTCGATCTCCTTTCTCCTGGCCGCCTAACTGGATATTCTGGGTGGTCCACAGCCATTTTGTCTTTTCGTCATGTCTCACTATAACGGTACCGACATAGCGACATTTGATTGTTGGACCATCTTTCAGTATAGCCAACGGGACGACAAGCAGGGCTTTGGTACCAGTGAACGAGCCCGGTGGCATAAGGAGAATATGCTTATCCCACTCTTCCAGAGCAAGCTGAACTCTGAGGGTTGCAGCAAGGTCATTACCGTAAGGCTCCATGATATCAGACTCCACAACTTCCCGAAAGTCCCACAGCCCCCAAACCGCGCCGGAGTCATCGATCTCTAGCATAGATCCGAGTGTATCATCAGTGGATCGGGAACCCCTATAAAATTCTACGGGAAGATCATCCAGGGTTGCAGGACTCCAGGAATAGCCGCCGCTATCATTCATCGTTGGCTTGCCATGAAGAAGGCTTGCAGAAGGTATTTTACCCAGATATCGCAGTATATCTCTTGTAATTTCACTTTCACCCTTGGAAAGATCGGGGTCAGGTACGCCGGCAAGAAGACTGGCGATAATTGTGCGGTCTCGCACCCATGATGTACTGCGAGGGGAGAGAATCGTGACCAGGTCTCCAACGTTATCAATCGGTCTCCGGAGTCGTTGGATCAGGGAGGTTGCCAGCCAGTGAGCTCTGGACGAAGCGCGCGGACTGTGCGCCAAAATGTCTTGGTCTAGATCCTTGACTATGTGCTTTCCAGTTTTGGCATCCTTAAACAAGACCTTGACACTTTTCGACATAGCCAATTCCAGCGCGGTCCATCCACGCGTGAACCAAGTAGAAAGAACTAACGCAAGACACGGACCTCCATCATCGCTCCATGGAAAGTTCAGTAGAAACTGATCATGAACAACTGTGTAGCTTGCATTGGCATAATTGCTGTGCATGACGCTCAAGGCCTTACTCCGGGCCTTGGGATCATACGGAATTGATAATGCATCCCACCAGATTCCCTTGCACTTTAAGTCAGTCGCAATACTGGCGAAGTATTTGAAGAGACAAGAATTGACAGATCCAGCATCTTTTACTCCCACACCAGTTCCATCAGACCAAACGTGTGAGAGCGCAATGTATGGATCGCTGTTAGAGCAAAGTCGGTGCATCTCGTTGGACATATCCTGTCCCTTTCCCGGGATTGTTTCTTGAGTTCCTTGACAAAGCCATGCAGTACTTTTGCCTAGCTCAAGATTGGGCAGGAGTAGTTCTACAGGAAACAGCTTTTGCACGCAATTGATGGGTCCCGCAGTGTCATTTTGAGAGTTATCGTATGTTTCGACGCATTTATGAAGCTGAACGACCTTGGTACTGTCCATTTGAGCTCCCTGACACTTGCTTGGTGCACATTTCTCATGACCTTTATGGGAAATATACTCCTTATGACGAATAATAGCGGCGACGATATCTGGAAGATCTCCGTGTTTTCGATCGCTGACGTTAACCAGGTTCCACAAACGATTCTTGCAGAGTGAAAGATCTCCAACGCTTCGAGCCGCTTCCTGTACCGTCCTGGCAGTGTAACGAAATGGGAGGAAATCATGACCCCACTTGCTGAAATCTGCAGATCCAGTGCCCAGTTGAGACTGGATTCCCGCCATCCAATAGATGATATTGAAAACCCCCGAAAGCTCAATGGAACAAGGTAAATCGTTGCCTTGGCCGTCTAAGAAAGGCGTAATGTATTTTTCCTTGTCCCTGAATTTTTTGAGGATGGCAAAACAACTAGTGACGGATTTAGCAAGATGGGTATGGGCTCGTGACCTGTTCTGTTGATCATCCATCGCAGCCTGGCATGACATAGCTACTAGAGCCCATTCTCCAAATTTGGCCTAGTTGCAATCCGGTGCCCACTTGGCCATGGCCTCTCTCGTCTCCTTGCACTTCTTCGTTTTACAATTGTGCAACTTGGAACGAACACAAACCTGAGCGAGTTGCGAGAGGAATCCCATTTTGTGGTGGCCTAAGTGTAGTCTCGAACGAGCACCCCACATATGAGCGCGTAGAATGCTATTTGGACATTCATCATGCTCTTCGACATTTGTTTCACTCTCACACAGAAGGCGATCATCGAAACGCACATTGAAGAGGACGATTGGAGGACCGCCTTCTTCATCATTGTCTTCTGCACCACTTTCCGCGTTGTCGCCGTCTTCGTCCTCTTCACTATCATCAACAGCATCGTTGTCATCTTCTTCATCCTCCTCATTATCATCGTCGTCACCTTCTTCATCGTCGTTGTTGTTTTCCTCGTTACCGTTGGTGTCATTCATATCTTTACCCTCCTCAGTCTCTTCATCACAATCTTCGGATCCGGTGTCAGAAAACATGTCCTCGGAATCGGAAGAATTTTCATCGGAGGAGCCGTCATCAGGCTCCCAAATACCATGTAGCCTGAAAGCTTCTGGGATACTGGCAATTATCGACTGGAGCTTGACATCATCCATTCCTGTGGCAGGAGTTGGATCCTCCATACTAGATCTGCTACAAAAATATAGGTGAGATATTAGAAACTGGTTCGAGACCCGGCCAGGTAAACTTGTTTTGTTCTAAAGAGAAAAAAAGAGAGAAAAAAGAAAACGGATTTCTTTCTTGTATTCTTGGATTTATGAAAATCAATGATCTTTTTTTTTAACATACTTATCATCATCTAGATCCTCGATATATATTGAGGCTCTGTGAAAATGTTCGAACTGAAACTCCATGAAAATACTCAAAGCATCTTTGGGCAAATCAAAAGTCGCCACAATTCGTCGCTGCGGCTGAATCAAAAGGTCACACTGGCCCCTGGAGCTGAATTGTACGGCAAAGCTGAGTTGTTGCATTTACATGGAAACAGTAACATTACCTGGGAACAAATATCCTATATCCTATAAAAAGCTACAAACTTTTCTGGATGTATTTGATGCCACCTAAGCTTTTGTTAACGAAAACGGTATTGGCCTGGATAAGTATTGATCGGTTCTGTATAGCTGCCCAAGCTGACTGCCCCACACTACTCGAGTACATCGCTTCGCTACAGTCACATTGCCAATTAACCCACGTATTTTTTCACATTTGTTTGTCTTAAACGTCCCAAAACGACTAAAATCAGTGATAGTTATTAGCCTTTTTAACAGAGAAATCGCGAACGATCACATCGAGAGGTATTTGTCGCAGCGATATATTGAACCCAATTTCGTGTTTTTCCGGTCTCTCTACTTTTGCCAGTCAGGAATGCCTCTTCACCCAGTCATGTCTCCAATCATGAAAGCGTGGGTGAACCTCCGATCTGTGAATATCACGAATCCTACCACAACAGCCGATTATTTCGCATCGCAGTGGGTAGATCCGAGTGATATCTTCTCTGTTCTCCTCTTGTTAGGGCCAGAGATCGTTCAGCAAGCTGTCGCTCAGCTGGCAGGGCGCGCAATCACCCCGGTTGCTTTCTCCTTTGGATGGGTGGCATACTCCGCGAAAGCCTTACTTTCGATGATTGGAGGTAAGCAGATAATCCACCCAACCTCTTCTCCGCCAGTTCTTCCTCTCTTAGCCGCTCACAACTACTTGACATAGACGGACGACTGATGCCCGAGACCGACATGCTTAATACGCTAGTTATTGGTGCAGACAGTAAACATGTCCGGACCGCAAGTTCATGGATCTTAGGTCGCTTGCTACGCGACCTGGACGATCGATACGATAAGGAGATGGAAGGTGAGGAGTCTCATGTTCCACCCTCGCAATCTGTCTCGGCCCGTCCGGGATTCACCGAAAAGGAAAAGGGCATCAGCCACCAGCAGGGGAAGCCATGGGAAGCCCTGCGAATCTCGGTCTATCAAGTTATCAATCAAGATGGGCACAATCATGGCGTTCCACATTGCGATTGGGTATGGTACTCGGGATTTGTAGTCATCCTCGGGCAGCTAGTCATTGCTATGCTACCATGGGTGCTGTATGGGCAGTGGGGTACATTTCTCATCACTGCCTATGGGAACTTTCTAGCCCTGTTGAGCGGCTCGCTTCCACAATGGCGGAAAGAGAAATGGTCATGTCCTCGAAACGGGGGGGCCACAGTCACCCTCACCCAAGGCAATGGCAGCCGCCACGCAGTTGTAATCTTAGGTGAAAAAAAGGCTGGCTTGGATCTGGAGATCCTGGCTCGGGGAACTCGCACGTCCGCCCCTTCACGCGTCACCCGCCTCGCTGCCGCACTTCTAGCAATTCAGTGGATTGGGCTACTGATCACAGCAGATGGATTGGCGATTGATACCTGGTGTAAGTTACTGCTGCGAGGAGGATTTCTTGGGCACACGCTATGTTTTTCGACCTAGCTAATCTCTAGCTAGATCTACTGGGCATCGGAGCCTTGGGGAGTATTCAGAATGTGATCGCTGCGGGAGCTCGCCGATCCCCAAGTGCATTGGGTGTTCACATTCGCGATATCGGTCAGCCAATCCGAGGCAACCGTGTAGCAGATGTGCTAAAAGCCGCTGAGCGGCAGTATCCTGGCCTGGGCATGAGCTTAGTCCCTATTTTCTTTCCAGGTTCCATGCGAGTCCAGCCCTCTGAGTTTGACTTCTGGCGAGCAGCAAATGAGCGTCAAATGGGACCCAATAGATTCGGGACACGCATTGATAACCTCCCACCCCCACCCCAATCATCCACCATACAGATGGCGGCCGACGTCCCCGAACATGACTTGATCAATACTGAAGAGAAACACATCTAAGACTGGTGCATTTTGATTGTTAGCCTCAATGCTGGTTCCCATGCTCCAGCCATTACTTGCTTAATCTGTTGCACCATCCTGTATCCAACCACATAAACATTTCACATCTTGATATATTTAGCTGCATGCTGATTTATTGATGTTTGATTTTACCATATGAGTGATGTATCTTCAGTCCATTTGTATACTATACGTTATTTGTTTATCCACTTAGATAGCTGTATCATTATCTGCTAATATGCGGTTTATGCACAACTCTAAAGATGTTAGTGTATGAATGGAAGGATTTTGTTGATCTCAATTTTTTTCTTTGAATCTACTTATACCAGCGAGTCTCTATACTTCTCGAATGATATCTGTTAGAGTAGATAATAGCAATGAATCAACTAGATGTAATGTAGTTCAAAGACTTTTCATTAATTCTCCTAAACTATGAAAATTCTACATTTTATAATTGTGCGCGGGCTGGCGTCGGTTCGAAGTAGATCCATAGGACCAACTCACGTGCCTCCGAAAGCCCTACGCAGCTTGACCGTGACAATATCAGAGTATACAATTAGGTGATATAGACAAAATGAAACTTGAAACTATCCCCTAGACTGCGGGTTACGGCCGGTATATGTGGCTTGTACGCAAACAAAAACATCAATAACTTTACAAATTATATTAAATATGAAAACTTTTTAATTGAAATTTAAGATTAGAATTTATTGAATTAATAAATAATCAAAAGGTTTATTATAGATTTATATATTTTATTTTTTTAAAAAAAATTATATAAAGTTTTTAAATCCTATTATATTTCATTCTCAAGATAATACGATTTATGATTTCAAAAGCTTTTAGATTATAATACTTTGATTGGCTAATAAGGTATTATAAGTGGAACCTGGCCGTAACCCGCAGTCTAGGGGATAATCTTGAGTTCTCTAAGTTACTGTTTCTAATATAAAGATAGTATAGTTTAGTTCTTAACTAACTTATCTATAAAGTAATTATAGTTTTTAATAAACATTAATTAAATCACTTGATATTATTATAATAAGAAGAAATTCAAGATTAAAATAAAAAATTCATGTATTCTTTATATTCTATATATAAGGAAGAATACTATTATAATATAAAATAAAGAATTCACTATTAGGAGTAGTTTATGATCGCATGCAACTGAAATGCATTTGATGTTCAGCTGGTTAAAGAAAGCTACTCGTGCTGCCAGAAAGTATGCAACTCCGACGCTAGATGCACATACCACAAGATGGTAAACTACAAGAGAACTAACCTGGTTTTCATAGCGCCGGAGTTGCATACTTTCTGGCAGCACGAGTATGAAGTTGCCGCTTGTGGATGAGGAAAATTATGAGCTAAGACAGTTACACGTGACCGTCGCGAACCTCATCTCTTGATTATCTATCGTATACTCTTGTTATTGATACAATTGTTTAGAAAAATGAATGCTTGCCTCGAATAATATTGTGATCATTGAACCCCATAGCTCTAGTTGCTGACATGAGACTCTAGGAGCGTCTGACCTCCTGAATTCTCGGCACCGACCGTGATGTCCCGTAGGTGATGACAGATTGATTGCGTCTCTACCATGGTTTACACCTTTCGCACATTGTACAAATAATCTCCTGGGTTCTATTCATCTTTCCGCATATCTTTTTGATTTGATATGAAATATCACAGTTTGCTCAACTTCTGAATGCGGGGTGGATGGTTATCTCCAAATCTAAATGGCTCATTGATTGAAACCCAAAAATGGCATATCTGAGCTTCATTATCGAAAATAGAAATGTAACAATGAATGTCCGAGAAATTCTTGGAAAGATGAGCATGTACAGTGGTGGAAATAAGCCGCAGACATAAGCCTTAAGCCAAAGGGAAATTGGCATAAAAGAGCATTATCGATATTCTGTCATCTCATTTATCGGGTTTGGAGCTTTGAAGCCACTGATTGAAATGACATCTTCACGATATTCGGTGAAACTTCACATTCATGCTCAGTAAGTTTCAAAATTGGTGGCGAAGGACGGAAGACACCAATGGAGAAGGAAAGCGATACGTGTTGGCTAATTTGGGTAGAGCATAAACGCACCTCAACCTCAATGATAGAGACAAAATTCTTCGCATCAGTTGTAAGAATACTGCTCACAAATGTAAGTTTGATCGAAATCTCAGCCATCGAAGCACTGGTTTTCACAGTCAGCTTTAAAATAAATCGTATGAAGATCATGCTTTCAATTTAGGGAATGATTAAGACCTCTACAATACATTTTGACCCAATTGTACTGCAAGTTCAACATCGGGACGATTTCGATAAGTGGATTGCTTCAAATATGGATACAAAGCAACAATTAGAGTCAACCTTAGAATCATGGCAAATTCCGGTGTTCATGAAATCTCAGTAAATTGGGAATCTAACTCCGGTCGAACGTGGATTCAAACCAATTCTTGGTGGCTAAGAGGCTATGCAAGTGTGGTCTTCTAGGAACAGAATATATGATCACGTGTATAACCTTATAGTTTTGAGCTAGAGCTTGAGCCGTCATTTTGCAAGAGTTCTAGCATTTCACGTTAAATTCGTTTCATATAGAAAAACATCTTCATCGTACTACTTTCTTCAAACGTTCAGTTCACACAATCTCGAATCTCGAAAAAAGATCCATCATTTACTTCGAAATCATTCAACCCCTTTTCACTGCAATAAAGAATCGTTCGTCTAAGGAAAGAAGTTAGTTACTCTGAAAAATACTCACCAATACTACAATCTGATATTAACAATTCAAAATGCAGCCATCATTATCAAAGTTACCTCGACCGACCAGCATTCGCCCATTGTTCGGACACAACTCAAGGCGCCAATCAAGCTCTTATCTTCTTCGCCCATCACAATAACTTCACCGAATTTCCCGAAGGAATCAACTGTATCGCAAGCAAACCGATGGAGACGACAGACGACCAATATAATGTTGGTGCATGGGCAATGATGTCTCTTCTCCTCTTAATATTCGTATCGATTCTTCTCAGTCGTAATACCGTCATCATATCTGATTCCCAAGATGACGTGTTGGTAACGGGAGAAGAGAGTGTCCCATTACTGGCGCAGGAGGAGAAAAGTGTTTAGGGTATTCTTGGGATAAGTTATTCAAAATCAGGATTGAGCGAATATTTCCGGTATTTAGGAATTAGGAGTAAATGAATTATATGTAACCAATATATTTTGATGCTGGAATTTTATTTGCCCACTGTGGTTCAATAGGTTTGCTTCTACACACATGTCTCTTTTCTTTTGGCAAATTCGTGTGTGATCATTTACTCCGTATCATTGAGCTTAGCGTGTCGACTAAGAAACACTAGATTGTCTAGCGAGCTAACTAGCGAACTAGATAGGGGACCAAAGAATTTGACGTTGGCATCTGCATCGTTCTTGCCCATGATAACGATTAATAGATATGCGATCTCAAACTTAGTGTTGGCAATTCCAGGAAAGTGTAGTGACCTTTTGTGAACACTGCGAAAGACTTTTTTCTGTAAACAGTACTCCCAATCTCTCGCCGTACACCCTTACACCAACCAACACCCCACATCAATACACACTATTTTATGTAGGAAATTCCCAAGTCTAGAAAATAACAATAGGTTTTCATCAATATGGTAAGTGTCTTTTCGATTCCGGGTGTGTCAGAAGCAGTATGTCGAAAAGTCCAAGCTGAAGTACCATGGAGATGCATTAAGTCGATGGCATCATTCAAGCTCCAAAGTTCATTGAATCGACTAATTTGACTTGATTATTAAATGCTAATATCCCTCTCCGATAGGTGCCAGTTCAATATTACTTCAACTATATCCTTCCATCGAACTCCTCCAGCCTCTTAAACTCTACTACCAGTGATGAACGGCAAAAGTCTGACGAGATACTGTACAACAAAAGGCAATACTTGAGATGGATGATGATATTATACACCCTCAGATTCCTTCTCTCTGCAATCAGGTTATGTTTTTTGATTCGCAAAAATCGCAAAGAAAGAATGAAACAAGATGCTGCAGCGGCAATTCGAGACTTACAAGAGAAGATGGAATCTGGACTTACAGAAAATGGATCTCTTGGATCGCACTTAGAGACCATTGAGAGAGTTGCATGGGAAGATGGAGAAAAAGAATTTTCATAGACAGTTTTTCCAGAAGATTTAATTTTGATCATCCTGCACAGGGAAATCCAGACAGTTTAGAGATTCATAGCGATTTGGGCATTCGAGCAATTCAGAACTAAGACTTCAACAGCAAATTACAATTTGATATTTCACAACTGCGTCGGGTACTACTTTGATCAATCTCTTGATGTCATGATTAACAAGTTTTATGAGCCTTTGAGGTACTGAAATTGTGTGAAGTGTATGTGCACTAAAATATCGAAGATCTTTTGTTCTTCCAGCGTTCAAGATTGGTAAGATTAGGAAATTTCTGGCGGACCTCAGGTTTGGTGATTTGAGCTACGTTATAGACTCTTTTCTAGCTTAACTTTGAGATCTGGAACACGGATTGGAAGTGACGTTTGAAAGCTAAAATGAGAAACCTTAAGCCAAGCCTAAGACTGAGACCCAAAACCAGACTATTGATAATAAACTTCGCACGATGTAAAATTAAAAAGTGCATATACTACATATATTTCCCTAGCCCTTTGTACTTGCTTCATTGTACTGTCCTTTTGCCGTATCTAATTTAGTCATCCAACCAGTTCCGAACAACACTATCATCATCATACTTCGAGGTTCTCTCAAACCTTAAAAGTTCAAAATCTCTACATCACAAATAGATTTCACATCAACCTATCCATTAACAACTACACATTTATTAACCTACTCGACCGTCAGAATGTCACCAACTCATTACGAAACGGCGAACCTGATCAGATCTATATACACAACAAGCGTATACCCGCAACCAAATATCACATCCTACGAATCCAATGGCACATCAACACATCTTGAAACAGCAGAACCCTCTAGTGAGAACACAGTTCACACAACCCCAACGATGACCAGACTCGCGCTCATCTTGGTCTTAATTATCGCAATCTCTGCATTTATCTGGTATCGTTACCATAAGACATGGGCCGCCTGGCACAAAAAATATAGGGAAGCGAAGGAAGCGAAAGAGGCGAAGAAAGCTATGCAAGCAAAGGAAACTGCAGAGTTGGAGAAAGCAGTGGAAGAATCGAGAACGAGCACTTCTAAAGGCAAAGATTCTGCTCCAGTCATATGTATTAGTGTCTCGGTATCAACTTTTGATACCTCAATTTAAGCGTTGAGTTTTTTCACTTCTCAAATGTACGAGTATCGGAAAGACATTAGCGGTCAATCCTTTTGCACGACGCACGTAATCACGTTGTAATAATCGAATGAATAATCACCTCAAACTCGACGTGTCAAAGTATCTCACAGTGATCTTCATGTTAGTGTGATAAGACTAAGGTAAATGCCAAAGTGGTAATTGTAACTAGTTGCTTGAAATGTCGCCGAACTAAGGTCGAGGTAGTTTAAAATCAACGACGCTGATTTAGCGTCATTCTCGCCCACAAACATGTTTCTTCAATAATTCTCATTCTTCATCTGTACATCCATACATCACATAATTTTCGACAATATATCACATTCATCAAATCTTACATCAAGACAACAACACGACAACATTCCTCACAAGAAGTAATTTGTTGACTTTGATAATTGATTTGAACTTCGCTCCTTCTCGACTTTCGAAAACTGGTGAGATAATACCTTGAGGGTTAACTTACAGCCAGTAATCAGATTTTTCTCGCAATAGATTATCATATTTCTCAATCGGTATGTCATTTCGGTATTCCTAGAATTCCTCAATATACTGATTTATAAAAGACAATCTTAACCAAGACGGCTATCTATCTTGATCAGCTCGCTACCGAATTAACAATGTCACAAACTCCGGATCATGATCTTCATTACAGTGAAGGAGATACAAACAAGAGCATCGAGAGAGATGACTCCGATGGTTCTCTACGTTGTCCACTTTTCGTACAGGATACCACTGATTTGATCGATGAAGATGGGAATACGTGGGTCGGTTGGGTTGATGATGAAGAATGGGAGAAAGAACAGACAGCCCGTCGAAATGCTCTTCGGACCTCTCGCTTTGCTAGTTCGCTAGCCGCTCTCTTCGAGTCTTCCAAGGATATTCCAATAGTAACAGATACTCTGGTTGCCATGCCGTCTGAGACAGCGACCGCCGATATAGCTTCAGTGCCATCGACTAGCATTTTAACATCTATAAATATTCCTTTCACCGAGGAAAACTTTCATTCACAAGCTGTATTGGATCCAGAGCCAGATACTTTTAATCCAGTGGTATCTAGTGGCGAGGAACATCCGCGTCCTTTGTCAGAGACATTTTTCTTTGGGGGCTATAACTACAATACTGCGGTCGAGGATCATCAACATAATCTTGAAGACGAGGATGAAGATGACGACGAAGAAGAGAGTGATAGTGACGACGACAGCAACGACGACAGCGACAACCACAGCGACAACCACAGCGATAATAGTCTCGATAGTGATACTGAGAGTGGGGACTACGATGATAGTGGAGACGAGTGTAATCTTCATTCCGAGCCGGGGGATAATGAGGAAAGTCTAAACACGGACAAAGTAGGGGCTACTCCTAGTATTCCTCTAAACAATACACTCGCCATTGCTTTCAATCAGGGGTCTGTTGAGCAATTTACTGATACTGTATGGGTCTTGATCGGTAAAATACTATTCGCTATCGGTGTTTGTGTGTGGTTGATAGTTCCAGAAAAGTTAAAAGATACATTAAAAGCTCGTTATGCTGATTATCTCGCTTCTGGAGCTGGCAGTCGAAGCACGGTCGTTGAGCAGGAGGCTCATTCAGAAGAGGATAAGAATCAAAATAGCTCAGAGAATGATGCGGCTGTTCCCCATGATGGACATGGTATGGACTATTTGGATTATCTGGAGTGTATGGAGTCTCCGGACTATATAAATTACCTGGATTGTATGGACTCTCCAGACTATGTAAACTACCTGGATTATCTAGACGACGTGGATGATGATTCATTCCAGGAGTCGGAAGAGGAAATCTCCAGTTTTGCTAAAACAATATTAGCTGAACTTCAGTTTCGGACATTTCATATTCTCTTTGAAATGAATGCTCCTGGTCAGGACTTTTGTAGTTGTAGGAAGGCCCACAAGGGTCATAGTAACGTCCTGGTTCTTCTACCTGTAGATAATGACGGAGAATATGGAGAAGAAGATGAAGATGACGATGATGAAGATGACGATGATGAAGATGACGATGATGAAGATGACGATGATAAAAATGATAATGATGGGGATGATGAAGATGATGATGATGGGGATGAAGAAGAAGATGAAGATGAAGAAGAAGATAATGATGGGGATGATGAAGACGAAGGAAGAGTATCATGGGTATTAGAAAACTATGAAGATGACAACGAAGATGCTAGTGGAGGCGAAGAAGAATACAAAGACGACTACGCCGAAGAAGCCGAAGAAGCCGAAGAAGCCGAAGAAGAAGAAGAAGAAGAAGCAGAACAAGACCAATCCCTCGCAGCCAGATTCCACCGTATCGTAATCAAGGCATGGGACTACCTAATCGAAAAACTCGGATCGGAATGGGCCCTCGCGAACCGGAGCACCTGTTACCGCTACATCAACAAAATCTGGCGGCGATGGGTCGTCCACGCGAGAATTAACAGAGGGAGGGGAAATATCTGGGGAGTAGAGATTCCGTATCCGCCGGCGAGATTTTTTACTTTCGTTGAAAAATGTCCGCGGGATCTAAGGATTTCCAAATATTCGGGGAGACGATCTGGTGGGAGATTTGAGAGGTTTCGTCTTTTGTTTTATAGAGGTTGAGAGAGAGTTTTTGGATGATTATGTACTGTTGGTTTTTTTGTATTTTGATGTACGGAGATTGGGAGTTTGGGGATTATCACATACTACTATATTGCACTTCACAGCTTGTAATTATTACTACCTAGGTATCTACGATTCTTCCAATCCAAAACTTAGGACGGGATAGACAGAATGATCAACCTATGGAAGATAGATAAAATGAAATAAATAGAATAGAACAAAAGCAGATGGGACAAGATGAGATAAAAGGAAAAAAACACACTCTATCCCCCCTCCTCTTCAAACGCTCCAGCATAAGAACATTGAATCAAACCTAACAGTAAATTGTTTTCATACTCCTCCTGCAAGCCATTCAATTATTCCTCATGTGCCAAATTGCAAGATAATTCATTTGATACCTCTATGGATTCGATGACAAGATCTATGATATACCAAATCCATAGATCCCAACCATGTGAGATCAGATGCTACAACAGAAGAATAGATCCCGTCCGTAACTATACTTCGACTTCCTGTTCATTTAATAAATTTTTCAGTTCTAATTACTAAAGATTAGATACTGCGACTCTAATATAGAATCTACCACAGAATCTATCACATAACCTAAGACATATGAAAGCAGACCAAATGTGTTCTCCGGAGCATAGATGTGATTGATTGACTTTTGACGTATATATGATTAATCTACCGTAAATCTCACCATTACCCCTTCCTCATAAGAAAACCACTACATACATACCTAAATACACACACACACACACACACACACATACAATCATCATAAATACACATCACATCAAATCTCATCTATGCCTATCCCCATCCCTATCCATCCCAAACCCCAACCCACCAACCCTCCAAAATCCACCATCCAAACACCCAAGAAACCTCATAAACATGTGATCGATCATTCAAGCACCGAGACAGTATGAAAAAAGAAAGAAAGAAAGGATAGATAAACAAACAAACAAACCGGAAGAATAAATCACCCGACCACCACACTCCATCGGCTGGCTAGAGAATAATATAGAATCAAATATAGAATCGAACATAGGAGAGAGAGAAGAAAGAAGTAAGATAGATGAAGATGTACTCTAGTTCCTCTCTCTCAATGCCAATTTCAATTCCAATGCCAATTTCAATTTCAATTTCAAGACTTATGATAATGAAACATAATTACCAGCAGTGTCAATTATCAGCCCGGGGAAAAAATCACCCTACCATGCTAGATTTCCATACCATTCCAAAACTCCATTCATTCCTATACCTCTCCCAACCTACCTCCAGCTCCGAATTTTTTCAAAGAAAAAATATATCCAATTGCCAATCCCCCAACCATCATTTGTGGAAAAAAAAAATTCTCTTGCAAAGAAGGATAATATCTAGCTCATACATGCTACCGCAATTCTGCATACATACCTAGGTACTAATATGAATTCAAATATCAAAGAACCCAAAAAACCCCTCGTACAATTTCCCAAGCCCTTAATGAAATTTTCACAATCCTATTCCGAAAACCCTTCACATGTGTTTCAGAGCCACGATTGCTCTCTCCAGGTTCTGAAAGCAGGGCCCCGCTAAAATGTGCCCTCGTGCTCAGATAACGTATCAGGGATATCTAGCATCCTTGGAAACTTTATTTGACATTTAATATGGAACCGCTGTGCTCGCGTTCAAACAGCAAGTAGTGCAGTGTAGAGCTATGAGATGAGATCGATATTGCCTCGCTTCCACGAACTGAGATCAACATAACATAAATCCCAACATGAGTGGAGCGGAGGCATCTCCTCACTACTCATCCAATTTCTCCCTCCCAATCGGCGTCTTCAATTCAGCATTTCGCATGCGACATGACGAAGTATGCGCAAACCAAACCCTCCGAGCAGAGAACGAAAGAGAAAAACACATCCCCTAACAAAATTGGGGAAAGCGCAAAGCAAGAAAAGCTAGCAGTAAAGAGCTCGCATAGTGTGGTATCGAATATCTCGAGCTACATCTGAGCCCACTTTCGCAATATGAATTATTGGAGCGGAAAGGATAGTTTTCATGTCCCTCAGGGGCAACAATATATTTGAAAAGTGTCCCGTGCCGTGATAAGTGCATATATGGGCATAAAAACGGGTAGGGCTTATTCACTTCCTTGTGCCCATTGCATACGCGATGGGTGAAGTTAACTCACTTGATACATGATCGCACATAACGTACGATGGATAAATGACAGGGTACGCTAAAGTTAAATCGGCTTCCCAAGAACCTTCCAACTCTGATAATCTATTTTTCGATGTATCAATTCGAATTGTCCAATGAAACGATCAGGATATTTTCAGGATCCCACAACACTTTTTGAGCTCCTCATTAGAACTCGAGAATCAAAGATTCTCTCCGTCTTGTGTTGTAGTATGCGGTTCATTTCGTTCGTCCCGTGCATATGTATCTAAGTCTTCTAACGCATTCATACACCACTAAGGCACGTCGCGAAAACTGATTCAGAGCTGGGGGCAAAAGACGATCATGCTCTTTAGCGTGGCCCTTGCTATCGGCCCCGACATTGCATGAACACCATGGAGCAATGCACAGCGTAACTACTAAGTACACTGTGGAGAGGGGAAAAAACGGAAGCTAGATGAGAAACCGTGGGAAAGCAAAACGAAGTCGCATCAGAACGAAGTCGCATCAAAACACTATCTACTCTCTTCATCGTTTTGCCCATCCAGTAAAATCCACCGACTAAATGCAGTTACATTCGGACTGGGTATTGCAAAGGAGGGGCAAAGAGTTGAGGGGCAAAATAAATGTCAATTCCTCATCATTACGATATTTAACATCTGAAAGAGGGGCCCGAAAATATGATAATCATCCGCCCATGCATTTCCCCGTACATGCATATAGCACGGACCATACCACGTGTGAAATTTGACGTTGGGCACGAATAATAAGGAAGAGGTTGGGTGGATTCAGTGGGTTGAGGGAAGAAAAGCATGGGAAAGATTTTTTTTTTCTATGGGGATGGGATTTTATATTTTGTTGAGCTAAGCCGGAAGGATGGCCCGGGGTACTTTTACATATAGAGAGAAGAGCTGATGGGATATTTTCTTGGAAATGAATCACGCAACGGATCAATATGTGTACCGGGCGTTCCCGATTTTGGGCATGAAAATATATAAAGGGAGGATTGTGAATGAGTGGAATAGCTAATAGTATGAGGAATCCGGGGTTCAGGCTGAGTATCCACCCCGGGGAATATAAGAAAGAAGGAACAAGTCGGAGAGACATTTCTTCAAAGGGCTGGGATTGACGATATTCATCATGAAATAACCTTGGAACTTGTACGTATCGTAGAAAAGAAAAAAAGTCTTGTGAGGGGCAAGGCTACTCGGTACGATGTACATATGCAAGGCTTTGATTCGTATCACATTTGATTACGCATGGCATGGTCGGCGATAATTCGCCTTTATTTGTATGGATAGAGTGAGAGCCTCACTAGAAGTCCAAGTCTAAGCCATGCTGGAAATGATTTGTTTCAGAAATCCCGATTAGGAAGTGTCTTGTACTCTTGACGTTGTGTGTATTTGGTTCAACGGCGATACATGAAAGTCAACGCATCCATATGTCAAGAAGAGTACAAAGAGTAAAGCCCGAGATGAGATGACTGCACGTGGATTTCACGTGTCAACTAAGACAAAAGACAGCGCGCAGATCGATCGACATTATCATGTGATGCCTATCTTCACCAAAAACCCATCCTTAAATATCGACTTCTGCACTGCATCAAACGTATGCATCAAGTCCTTTAGCCCCCAAAAGGGTAAATGGATGCGTTGCGCCACCGATGCAAAAGTCTCTTTTTGGTACACATTACACATTACGCATCAAAACCCTTGCAGCCTTCTAAGGCGGGAAGAAAGGATGAAGAATGAGGCGACGCGGGGAGAGCGAAATATATCACAAACCTTGGAATGGAGAATGGATTGCCAATACTCGTACACGCAAAATGGAATCATTCGCGATTAATCATCTGGATTAGAAAGAATGGTGAAGGAGAAATCAAAATCAAAACTCATGAATGTGCGACCTAATTCTTCAAATATAATTTCCATATACTTCTTGAACATTCTCCATTGCTTATGAAAATGGTCAGAAGGATAAATTTGCAAGTTTTGAATGGGTATGAAGTCTCAGTGTAACATTGGATGGACATTTCTTGGGACGAGTGACTTTTTTTGAGTCAGAATTGTGGGGATATACTTATCCCCTCATCTACTCCGTATAGGCAGAGAGGGTGCCAGTATGTATTCCTTTCCCGAATAGGAAATCAGGAAGTCCAATAAATGATATATGATGAGGTGACTCCAAGGTAAATAAATGTATGTGCAGACATGTAAGCAGCTAAGCACGGGAAGGATGGGTGGATGCAGGTCTACGGCGTTGAGATCCCTTTCTTCAAAAGGTTGAATGGAATGCAAAAACGATGGGACACATGATATCGAGCAAGCAAAAGACAAAGCAATCCAATACCTAGGCAACTGAGAAACGCGCAGGAATAAAAGGTAATTGTGGCTTAGAGTAAACTATTGCAAAGTGCGAACCAAACGGCAGTGCAGTGTAAAGAAGCGGTGAGGCATGGGAAAATTGAGGGTGTAGTGGGGTGGGATATCATTCATCGACGTGAAATGTTGCGGCTTGAACTTTTATTTTAGTTTCAGAGTTGATTGAGATAATCTATTATCCGTTCGACTCTTCGAAGAGTCTTTGACGTAAAAATGGTTCTTCTAGATGCAATAGTCTGACGCTTAATTGATCTTCTATAGTTTGAGCTTGTGAAGACGAGAGAATAACATTGTCTTGTGATAGCGAGTGGAAGATGGTAGGATGGAGGAGGGGTAAGTCTCAGCCTTGTATACACGTAGCGCAAGGGAAAGAAAAGATGGCGAAGGACTTTGAGACGGAGGGTTGAGATGGAGGAACTTTGAGAGGAGGGAAGGAAATGATCTGCTGTATAG